TGAACAAATGTACAGGTTGTGAAAAGAAGTTAAAACGAAGTTAAATCAACCTTTGAGAAATGTGTTGAAAAGTTTTTCAGCTGAAAGTTAAATACTTTGGTAAGAGTTGTATTTTGAGTTACATTAAAAGACGTAAAATTTGTCCCTCGTCTCTCCAATGTGAGATACACGTTGCGATCACCACATTTTTTTGATGAGATAACCTTAATTAATCGTCAAAATTACGTAGAATCGACAGAATCTTATGACAATTAGTTGCTTCGAGTTCCAAGGGAGGCATCCTGCTACGTGTTGATGGTTTGGATTAAAGGTCCGTCAAAACAACAATGTGTGATTATGATCTCGATGTTTATTAAGATAAATTTCATGTATCGACCTTAATTGGTCATCTTCAGGTGGTTCTTTAGTGTAATCTTCCCGTTGTTATTGTAAGATTTTAACCAGAATTGGAACGTGTCAACAGATTCTGTTGAAGCTCATCAGTATTAAATGTAATGAAAATCCGTAAAAATATTTTCGAGTTGGAACTACAGACAGATGGACGGGCCTAAACTCACGATTTGCATTAATTAGTTACGAACGCGTGTGAAAACGATTTCTGGCACATACTGACTTTTTCAAGGAAAAAGTTTGTGTCAAGTAGTCCTAGTCTCACGTACGCCCTTCAAGAGGCCCGCGATGTGACCTTTCCTGTTATCCGGGTCGTGGTTGATCCACCGGAGAATGCACTCCCACACTGTTTCCTCATCCTCTGCGTTTAGTTCCTCTGACGTGATTATCTCTTGCAGCTCCTCTACAGGCAGTTCTAGCAGTTCTCCGCTCTGCTGAGACACTTGCACGAAGTGCCGCAGAACGAAGCTGCGAGCGTGAGCCTCAAGGTCGGCGCAGAAGTGACACCTGCGACAGCGAGCGTAAGAGCTGGATCAACTTCTCCTTCGAACTCAGACACATTGATAAGCTGCAGCTAGAACTTTCTACCTTAATATTTTGATCAAAACATAATCTTTAAATTAAAAGCACATGAATAATAACCTGCCAATAACCCTGACCAAAAACGCATTATAATGTTCCCGGTCCCTAGTCAGCGTCTTTTTCTGTGATCCGGACCTTGGCTGCTCTCTGAGTAAGTGAGCTTCGCTCCAGCAACGACGGCTAGTGTCACAGCAAATGGCAACATCAATTACCTAGCGAAACGCATGATGCCGATACAGTTGTCGAGGTCCATCGTGTCCTCGAGGAAGTCGCAGCAGAGCTCAGTAACGGCTCCTATACACAAGTATTCAGCCGCCACAAGCAGCTGACGCGCGTTGTCGCAGTGGATGTCCACCTTCCGCAAATAAACATAATCCAGAATCTGCGACATCAAGTCCGAGCTAATTCCGTGCAGGAGAATGTCAGTCTTCTCACTGGTGTTCAGTGTTGAGGTGAAGAGTTTCCTGAAACGTCACGAAGCTGTTGTTAATTTACTCCGATTTCGAGGAACGGGGAGTAGGAATTTACAATAGACACGTACATAAAGTATAAGTGTTTATAATTTACGTAGCCAAAAGAAGTACACTTTTTGAACATGGTGGATTAATTCTTATGTTATTTGCATACTTTACAAACTACCTAAAGCCCTAAGTGCGTGTGTGAAATCTGTGCACGTGTATGGAAAAGTATGTAGACGATTTGACAGCATCACGTCAGATCAGATGACCGTAGGAATTTAGGGTTTTGCCGTTAAGCTGAAATCAGTCTAGCATTTATCTTGCAGCGGCAGAATGTGTACAAATGGGTCCAGATTAACTGCGAGGGGGGCGAAGAGCATGTGCAGGCTTAACAGAATATAACTTACAAATTAGGTGCTCACAGAAAAACATCCATGTCAGTACCAGAAAATAACCTGTCAAGAATGCAGTGAACGTTATTAATGTAGAATGGTTATCTCGTTTCTTATATGACTTTCAATCCTTCAAGAGATATCTGAGGTTATAACAAATAAAACAATAATCTTAAAACCAACCAGCAAAGTAACACAAATATTGTAATATATATTACAGGCTGAACATTGCACTGATCGATCAGTAATATGAAATCAGAGCCTCCTAAATCTATTTGATCACCTTGGTTCAACTACACTTAAACCTCAGTGCAAAGAGCCACGGACATA